AAAGCTCATCCAAGAGTACAGTTCCTAGGGAAAATCTGATTTTGTCAAAGAGATGAAGGGAACATTGGTTACTAGACCCAAGTCCAAGAGCTTATTAAAAAAAATCAGTGTCCAAGAGATGAGTATTGGGAGAAATAAAGGCTTCATTCAGTGGCCAAAGAATGGAGAAGAGGACTGGGAATGTAGCTAGTGGTAGAGTACTTGCCTAGCATGCATGAAGCCCTGGGTTCGATTCCTCAATACCACATAAACAGAGAAGCCAAAAGTGGCACTGTAGCTCAAGTGGTAGATTGCTAGCCTTGAGCAAAAGAAGCTCAGAAACAGTGCCCAGGCCCTGAGTTCAAGCCCCAGGACTGGCAACAAAAAAATGAAGAAGAGGTTCTTAACTCTAGGGTGTCCAATATAGAACTAATAGGGGTGACAAGAGAAGGGAGGAGGGTGAGAGGCTAATAAAAGAGGAATATTCATGTCTTTTCTGGGTCTAGGTAGAGCTCTTCCAGTATATTCAAAGCCATCTCTTTTCCCTGCTTTCAAGCTCTAGTGTCTCCAGTCACGGTAGGTGGTTGGTATCTTTAACCCTGAAGCAGGGAAAGAGACACTAGGCAAATCTACATCATTAACTCTGTATTATAGTTCTGGACAAAGTACTTCTCAATTTTCCAACATATCTACATCAAAGGTGACTAGGATTTGACCCAAAAATTATAGCCACAAAGGAGACAGATTCAAATTAAGGCAGAGATGCCAAAACTTTCAACCCATTTCAGTTACACATCAGACATCTACAGGCCATAAAAGTCTTCAAGACCCTGCAAAGTAAGACTGGGGATTTGACTCAAATGGTAGAACACTTGCCTAGCAAGGGCAAGGCCCTAACAAAGTTCTCTCACCAGTATTTCCAAAAAAAAGAGGAGCATGATGAGGAAGAAGAGGAGGAAGAGGAGAAGGGGAGGAATCCTTCAAAATATTCTAGACAAGTGTTATCATAACTCACATGGAGGAGGTATTATTTACTGCAAATTCATTGGGAAGCTAAATCTATATTAGTCAGATGTGTGACTTCCAAAATTAATGATCAGTCAACTAAGACTTTGTGAGACCAGAGGGTTTATTTAGGTTTTCTCTTAGCAACTCATTCAGTGAAGAAATCTTCAATGTGCCTGAATTCTAAGAAAAGGGATTTATAAAGATATTTCAAGGACAAGATTAAACTTAGTCTGGGAAATAATATATGGGATGGATGGATGGATGGATGGATGCCTTAGCAAACATTCTGGGTGGTAGTGGTAAGAGATGGAGGAGATGGAGCCGGTTACTGGACTTTGGATATGGCCCTTAAAAAGTCAGAGCACTAGTTTTCTGAGTTTCAGTTTTACTCTCCAGAAAAATAGAGATAATTTTACTAGAGAAACTATCTCTCTGTGTCTGATCAGCAGCTACCAAGTAGGTTAAACAAAATTTTTTATCTTTTTTTTTTGTCAGTTGTGGGGCTTGAACTCCAGGCCTGGGCACTGTCCCCAAACTCTTCAGCTCAAGGCCAGCACCCTACCACTTGAGCCACAGCACCACTTCCAGTTTTCTGGTAGTTAATTGGAGATAAGAGTCTCACAAAGCCGGGCACCGGTGGCTCATGCCTATAATCCTAGCTATTCAGGAGGCTGAGATCTGAGGATCGCAGTTCAAAGCCAGCCCAGGCAGGAAAGTCCATGAGACTCTTATCTCCAATAAACCACTAGAAAACCAGAAGTGGCACTGTGGCTCAAGCGGTAGAGCGCTCGCCTTGAGCTGAAGAGCGCAAGGACAGTTCACGCCCCATGACGGACAAAAAAAAAAAAAGTCTCACAGACTTTCCTGCCTGGGCTGGCTTTGAAGTGTGATCCTCAGATCTCAGCCTCCTGAGTAGCTAGGATTACAGGCATGAGCCACTAGTGCCTGCCTGACTTGTTTTGTTTTTTGCCAGTTCCAAGGCTTGAACTGAGGGCCTGGGCACTGTCCCTGAGCTTCTTTTGCACAAGCCTAGCACTTTCCCACTTGAGCTATAGCACCACTTCTGGCTTTTTCTGAGTAGTTTATTGGAGATAAGAGTCTCATGGACTTTTCTGCCTAGGCCTCAGATCTGAAGCCTCCTGAGTAGCTAGGATTACAGGCATGAGCCACCAGCTCCCAGTAACAAGAAATATTTTAAATCAACATTGGCTGTGAATAAATGGTAGCCAAAGGCAAGAGATAGAAGTAAGTGAAAGACAAGATTGAAAGGGTTTAAGACTGCATTAGAGAAGGTGAGGTTTGGGTTACTGACTGAAGGAACTTGATCAAGCAATTGGTAATCAGTGGTGTAAATGTGCAGTTGGATGCTGGCTCCCACTGGGATTGGAAAGCATTTTCTTTTTTGCTGGTCGTGGAGCTTGAACTCTGGGCCTGGGCGCTGTCCCTGAGTGCTCTGTCACTTGAGCCACAGCGCCACTTTTGGCTTTTTTTGTTTTGCTTATGTGGTGTTGAGGAATGGAACCCAGGGCCTCAGGTATGCAAGGCAAGCACTCTACCACTGAGCCACCTTCCCAGCCCCTAGTAAGCAATTTTCACAGTGACCTGCAGAAGGGATGTCTTCTTCTATGTGCAATCCTGCAGGCTTCAGATGCTATGAGGGAGCTTGCTGAATAAGCCCATTAGGCATCTCCATGCACGCCACCCCAGGCAGGTGGCTGGTTGTATAAATATGTAAGTTCCATGCTAAGAAAGTAGCCAAAACCTGAGATTGAGCCAAAACCTGATGTCAAAGTACATCTTGAGCATATAGCTCAGGCAAGAAGCTGCTAGAAATTATTTAGTCTCCATTATCCTCATGCCTCCATTTCTCACTGCTCATTCTACTCATCATAGGGGCCCAAACCCCCACTTTTGCCATTCTGCAGTTCTCTTCCTTTTTGGTCATCTGCACCCCAGCAATTCCTCCTCCCAATACCCTCATCCCAGAATTCATATATGTTATAGGACTCGATTAGGTTGGCTTATATAATCAGAGTTATACAATGGCCATCAAAAGGCTTGAGAGCCCAGGAAACCAGAAGTCCCAGAAGGTGCTTAGTTTAAGAAGTCAGTAGCCTAAGGACAAGAGGCAGCCCAGGTCTGAGGCTGAAGGGGGCTCCTCGGAGGGGTTGCTGACATGCATCCCCATTTGAAAGCTGAAGAAGCTGGACTTTGATAGGCACTGGCAGCAGCAGAAAGCATAGGTGCTCAAGAAGTGTCAAACTTGCCCTTCCACCTGTTTCTGACGCCTTTTTGTCCCAACATATTAGTACCTATTAGGTTTCCCCCTTGGTTTGTTAACCCACGTGCCAATCATCTCTGGAAACACTCTCACTGAGGGTGAAGTATGCCTTACTAATTTTCTGGCATCTCTCAATCCAGCTAAGCTGACAACCAAAATTAGCCAGCCCAAAGTCTGAAACCAGGGTACCATGTTCAGAGCTAATGAGGTACTTCCTAGCACAGCAATGGCCACCTTCTTTTTTTTTCTTTCTTTTTTTGTCGGTCATAGGGCTTGAACTCTGGGCCTGGGCGCTGTCCCTGAGCTCTTCAGCTCAAAGCGAGAGCTCTACCTCTTGAGTTGCAGCTCTACTCCTGGTTTTCTAGTGGTTTATTGGAGATCAGAGTCTCACGGACTTTCCTGCCCAGGCTGGCTTTGAACCATGATTCTCAGATCTCAGCCTCCTGAGTAGCTAGGATCACAGGTGTGAGCCACCTGCGCCCAGCTTAGCCAACTTCTTATATTCTCACATGGTAAGGAAAAGGAGTGAAGCTTGTTCTCTGTTCACAAATTTATTGCATTTGGATTTTGTAGACTGGACACACTCTATTACCTATGTGGCAAAGAATTTTTGACTCCAAAGAGGCTTTGGAAACAACTCAAGATGTTAATTTTATTTTGTTTTTTATTTATTTATTTTTTTGTCGGTTGTGGGGCCTGAACTCTGGGCCTGGGTGCTGTCCCCCAGCTCTTCAGCTGGTCTACCACTTGAGCTTCAGCGCCACTTCGGCTTTTTCTGCTTATGTGGTGCTGAGGAATCGAACCCAGGGCCTCATGCATGCAAGGCAAGCACTCTACCACTGAGCCACCTTCCCAGTGCCAAGATGTTAATTTTATAGACGAATAAACTGAGATCAGAGGGATGTAAATGGTCCAAAGTCACACAGCAAGGTATCAAGAATGGAATTAAGACCCCAAGTCCTGTAGTATCCAGTGTTGTGTTCTTCCACAATACAATGCAGACTATTCCATGCTAGCCCATGAACCACACTGATGTTAGGCACCAAGCCAGGTTTCTGGTCTGTATTAGTTCCACATACTATGGATTAAGTTTCAGTGTTGCCAACCTGTATTGTTTATCTGTACCACTTTGCTTATTTCACCTTATCCTCTTCTGTTCCCATTTCTGTTAGTTTCCATGTTTCATGTTGGTTATATTTATTCTACTGGTTTCTGTGATATTACAGTAAATTATATCATTCTCATTATTTGCTTCCCTCCCTTCAAAGGAGCTTTACCTACCTACTCATTGCCTTGTGACTTGCATTCCTTCTCTACAGGAAGAAAATACTTCCCTTGCCTTCACGTCAGGCTTAGCCACACAACTTACTATGGATACTGGAATTATGCAGAGATGTGTCTCACTTCTGGGAACCTTTGGGCCATTAGTCCTTTCCCTCTGTCATAAGATGGCATATTCCAGATAAGCGCTTTTCTCTCAGGGTAGATCTAAGGCTAAACTTACAAATAACATGAAACGTGAACTATCAATGAACTTTTGCTGTTGTAAACCACTGAGATTACTGGGTGTGCTATGATGTAGCAAGTAAATCGAGACAGCCATATTGACTTCATATTTCATAAACACTTGTCCCACTAACCAAGTACTGTGTGGTTCTGAATGTACAATATTAGCGATATACATAACAGATGTCCTTTTATTCAACAAACATTTTCCCTTCTGGATTCCTGTTCACACGATTGCCCTACTATGTCCTATTATTTTGAGAAAAGCCCCCTTCATGTCCTTGTTCCTCAGACTGTAAACCACAGGATTGAGCAGGGCTGTGAAGACATTGTAAAAGAGTGAGACTTTCTTGTCTTGTTCAGGGTTGTAGCTGGAGTTAGGTCTCATATAGAGATAAGCTGCCGGAGCATAAAAGAATGTGACCACAGTCAGGTGTGAGAAGCAGGTAGAGAAAGCCTTGCAGCGGCTCCGGGTAGACTTGATCTTAAGAATGGCTAGGGCGATATGAACGTAGGAGGCCAGAATGAGGGAGAGTGGAATAACAACCACAAACACACTGAGGACCTGGTCTACCATCTCAATGAGCTGGGTATCCATGCAAGCCAAGCTCCGCACAGAGGGGCCTTCACAGAAGTAATGGTTGATAGTGTTAGGCCCACAGTATGGCAGACTCATGGTGAAGAAAGTATGGATCAGAGAGAAAAAAAACCCACAGGCCCATGTTCCAGCTGCCAACTGCATACACAAGCCCCAATTGAGGATGACAGTATAACGCAGCGGGTAGCAAATGGCTACATAGCGATCATAAGCCATGACTACAAAGAAAATACACTCTATCAGGCCCAGGGCACTAAACACATACATCTGCAGCCAACAGCCAGCAAAAGAGATAGTCTGAGAGTGAGTGAGAAGATGCACCAGCATCTGGGGCATGGTGGTGGTGACATAGCCCATATCAAGCAAGGACAGGATGCAGAGGAAAAAGTACATGGGGGTATGGAGATTTGAATCTAGGCAGATCAGGGAGGCAATGAGTCCATTGGCCAGGACTGAGATCAAGTAGAGGAGAAGGAAGGCAATGAAGAGGATCTTGTTGGATGTAGGGTCACTGGAGAAGCCGAGCAAGATAAATTCAGAAACCCAACTTTGGTTTTGTGGAAGCATCCACATGCTGGGGCCTGTAAGAGAATCACATTTGTTACATCTCATCTAAACTCTAGTGGCCTAGAGAGAAGTCCAGATATAGGATAGACAGGCTAGGGATTCAATTCTGGCCTCACTACTCAATTTCTATGTAATAGTGAACAAATTGCTTAACCACTCAGAATCTATATCTCTTCATCTATAAAATGTGGTTAGAGCCAAGCGCCAGTGGCTCATGCTTATAATCCTAGCTACTCAGAAGGCTGAGATCTGAGGATCACAGTTCAAAGCCAGCCCTGGAAGGAACGTCTGTGAGACTCTTATCTCCAATTAACCACCAGAAAACTGGAAGTGGCGCTGTGGCTCAAGTGGTAGAGTGGTAGCCTTGAGCTGAAGAGCTCAGGGACAGTGCCCAGGCCGAGTTCAAGCTCCACAACCGACCCCCCCAAAAATGTGGCTACAGCTGGGCACTGGGGGCTCACTCTTATAATCCTAGCTACACAGTAGGCTGAGATCTGAAGGTCATGGTTCTGTCATAAGTCTGTAAGACTTATCCCCAAATAACCACTGAAACGCTGGAAGTGGAGCTGTGGCTCAGTCCGGGCTCAGAATTCAAGCCCCAGGTCTGGCATACACACACACACACACACACACACACACACATGTGGCTAATATTTCTCATCTTTCAAGATTTTTTATAAGGATTAGAGATTATATATTTGAAGCATCTAACATAATGTCTTGAAATATTAAACAGCACTCAATGAGTCCCTATGCTATCTGCTCACACTCATTCCACACCTCCCACTTACAGCAATACCCAGTTTACATTATCTTCGTCCCAGCCTCCCAATCTCTTAGAAAATTCCTCCTTTGCTTCAGAGAACATATGTCTCAGTGGGCTAAACTACCCTCAAACCTCTGCCTGTGGCTGTCTGGTGCAATGTGAGGCTTTGTCACTAGAGGGTGATAGAGAATGCTGAATTACAATAGCAGCTGGAGGGTACTTCTGGTTGCTGCCTTTGTCCTCCTCCCTCCTTATTCAGCCTGAGGGCCAGTGGAGAGATGTGTGAATCAACACTGGGCATGCACACAGGCCGTACCATCCTCATCAGAAGCTGCAGTCTTGACGGCTACAGCAGGCTACACTCAGGGCAGAACTCTCAGGCTCCTGGATACCTAGAGACCAGCTCTGACCACACCTTCAAACCACATTCTCCATCCAACATCCACTTCCACTCATTTGACCATCCCACAAGCAACATTTTCCCCTCACCATGGCCACTTCTGGGCAAACTCAGGCCAGTGCTGTACATCCCGGAGGCAGAAGCGAGGAAGGGGAGGGGAAGAAGGGAGGTTAAGAACAAAGAACAGAAGGAAGGTATCTCTGTAGTCCCTTCAATGTGTACACTTTTTCATTCTAGAAATAGGTGTTTTTTAGTTTTAGTTTTTCCCCTTGCTATTTCTGGAATTATTAGAGTTCTTCATCCATTTAGGGCTTTTGGTTTTTGTTGTTGTTTAAAACTGGTCAACAATTTGTTATATCAAGCCAGGAACCAGTTTCTCATGCTTGAAATCATAGCTATTCAGGAATTCAGGAGGCTGAGATTTGATTATCACAGCTCAAAGCATCTCTGGCAGACAAGTCTGAGAAATCCATATCTCTAATTAACAAAAAGCTGGAAGTAGAGGTGTATAGATAACCCAAGTGGTAGACCCGCCAGCCTTAAGTGAAAAAGGTGAGCCAGAGTGCAGGGATTGAGTCCAAGTCTTACTACCAGCACATACAAATTTTTATTGTATTCGTTTTTTTCTTATTCTTATTACTGGTATGTTCTGTCTTCTGACTAAATCACTATTGATATAGACCCTAAATCTACATGGAATGAGTTTGATCAAGGAGCAGAACATTTGCATAGCTGGAAACATTCTTAACAATAGTACTTCTCAATTTAAAAATTAGAATAGTAAATATGCAGTAGGGAAACTAGACAACATTTTAACTGGAGTGATCATAACCAAGATCACCCATAGGAGGCAAACACACTCTATCCCAGATGGGAAATCCTAAGAATATACCATCTGTATCTTATTTGAGCCAAAAACATAAAGCTTGAACCTAAACATGAAGAAAGAATCAAACAAACCAAATCCAGGAACATCCCATAAAATAATTAGTTTCTAATCTTACAAAAAAAAGTCAATGAAAAACAGATAAATACTAAGACTTTATAACAGATGCACAAATGAAAACAACAAATGTGATGTATAAATGGAAGAATGCTATTTAACATCAGACATAAATAGATTATATTGGATTATGTGAATACATCACTTCAATGTTGAATATCCTGAATTAATTCCTATATAAGAAAAAATCCAGCTGGGCTCTGGTGGCTCATGCCTGTAATCCTAGCTACTCAGGAGGCTGAGATCTGAGGAATGCAGTTCAAAGCAGCCTGGGCAAGGAAGACTGTGTGACTCTTATCTCCAATTAACCACCAGAAAAACATAAGTAGCACTGTGGCTGAAGTGGTAGAGGGCTAGCCTTGAGCTGAAGAACTCAGGGACACAGCCCCCAACTGACAAAACAAAAAACAACAACAACAAAAATCCTTCTCTGTAGGAAATCGTCAATGGAGTATTATGATCATAGCTAATGTCTATTAAGCAATTTACATCTGCCAGCCAGTGTTACACTAACTATAGCTCAACCTCGCAATGGTTCACTGAGGAAAGTATTTTTTCCTATATCCCAGAGGCAAAAAAGTTAAGAAAGAGGGAGGCAGATTACATGGTCAGTATGACATTTGGGATTTGAATTGAGACAATCTGATTTTAATTGAGGCAGTCTGATTTCTGAGTCTACTCCTAAACATTGACTTCTACTTCTCTAGCAAACAGCTCTTACATGGGAGAGGTGATGAGCACAAATCTCCCCTTTCTGCACATGAACTTGAGCTTATTGAGGTTTAGCATGGACTACCACAGAATCATGGCTTACTTGGGAATTAGAGGAGGCAGTTAGGTCACCATACATGGTGAACCAGAAGCCTTTAAGGAGAAAGGGCTGAGATGTGAGCCACCAAGGATTTCTCAATACAAGACTGCATCCATCTGCCCACATCCTTGGGAGGACCATAGGGTTGTACTGAAAGGCAGAGAGAATCAGTGGAAGAGGTATTTGGAAATTATGACTGTACTGGACGTCAGAAATTTTTTTAATATAAAAGCCTTTTTCTGTCTGAATCAAATTTTATTTCCATGGGAGGGGACACCAATTACTCAGAGTTCTCTAGATCAGCCGGCCCAGCAGTGTCTGTCTTCACTTTTAAGGCCCAGGCCCCTGGAGAGCATGGAGCTGAGTCTCTGTGCCAATGAGCAGCTCCAGCTAGGAAATAGACTATCATGACTCTCCTCGCTTAGAGACATCTGAGCTCCGAATCTTCCATTAGTCTCTTCCTTGTTTCTCCTACCTAGCAAATGGCTTGACTTAACGAATTATCCATAAACAGGTATTAAATAAACAAAAGAAGAAAAGAGAGACCAAGAAGGAGAAAGGAATGAAAGGGAGGCCAAGGAGGAGGCTAGAGGTTCAACCTATAATCCTAGCTTCTCAGGAGGCTGAGATCTATGGATCACAGTTTGATACCAGCTTGAGCAGAAAAGTCTGTGAGATTCTTACCTCTAGTGAAGTAGCAAAAGGCTAGAAGTGGAAGTGTGGCTCAAGTGGTAGAGCACCAGCCTTGAACAACAACAAAAAAAAAAACAAGTGAAAGCATGAAGCCCTGCGTCCAAGCCCCAGTACCAACACCAAAAAAAAAAAAAGATATGAGATAGTGAGGAAAGCTCAGTGAGAGATATTGGGGCTAGAGAGGTGTTGGGATGAAGCACAAAGAGGCCCTGGGGACAAGTGACCTTCCCACATCTGCCCTCCAACCTCACAGTCCCTAGAAGCACTGAACACTAAGGTGTTCCTTACTCTTAAGAGAAAGAAACGAAACAGAAAATCCTTAGACACCTGAATCCAGGGAGTCAGGATTGCAGGCCATCCAGACTCCAGAAAAGCCCAGAGTTTCTGAGAGGTCAGGGATTGTCACCCCAACCCTATGTCTTCTCTCCATGGTATGGCTCTCTGAACTTGGCTAAGCCAACCCTGCCTCCTGAAGACCTTGGCTGCTGGGTCCGGGGATCTCACCATCTCAGCACCTCCCAAGGAACCAAGCTGATGAAGTTTTATGGTCCTGCTTCCTCCACTGACCTTCCCAAGAGACCTGAGGAAGGGCCGCCCACCTTCCCAGTGGGGATGCCAACGTGGAGTTCCACGAACGTTGTCAACAAGAACTCTACAAGGAAAAAGCCTTTGGGGACAAAGCACAAGGAAATAACCCCTCAGGGGGAAAGGGAAGTAACCTATTTCCTTTTCCTGCCTTCTTGAACATGAGCAGCTCAAGAGAGCAGAGTAAAACTTCATTACCTGGTAGCTGTGTGAAGAGCTGAAGTCTTCATTCCGATCCCATTCCCCAAACTGTTGGCACTTGACGTGACAGTGAGACCATGTTGTCACTCCCCTTCCTGAACTGCCCGAAGTAAATGGAAGCCTTCCTGTATTCTTTACCAAGGCTCCACCCTGGACAAGTTACCCAGGCTTTCTGGCGCTAATTTAGAATTGGCTATGGCACACTTGCACTGCACCAGATCTTGAACCAGGTTCTGACAAAAGGTGTCTAAAAGTAACCAGTGTCATCCCCAGGCCACACACAAGGAGGTGAAGACCCAGCAGAGGAAGGAGCCTGGCCCAGGGGCTCACATGTTACAGGTGCAGAATCAGAATTTGAATCCAGGTCTATCATGCTCTAATGCCTACTCTCTTACAATTGCTGTTATTCTGCCTTCTGAGGTTTCTGGGAGAATTAGATGAGATATTATGTAGTATCAACAACAATAAAAACCTGGCCACAAATTCTGGCCCAATTTCCATAACTATGAATACTAGCACCTCTCTTCTTTTTGGCTTTGGTTTCCTA